ATTGTCCAAGAGGGCATGTAAAAGAGCTCAAGTAAGGAAACCTCTACAGCAGTAGTTTTCAACCTTTTCTTTACCACAGACCCCCTTTAAATAACTTTTGTGGCCACAGACCATGGCCATGGACCCCCCAAGACTTAATTCAAGATTTAAATCATAACATTTCTTCAAGTCTTTGTGGACTTGCTGTGACGACATCCCAGCCCCCCCAGGGGTCCATGGACCACAGGTTGAGAACTGCTGCCCTACAGTATTGTTGATTAAATCTGTTGACTCTAGTGGCCAATAGAATGAAAAGGTGCACCAGGCTGTGCGCCCAGAAGGAGATCTCCCAACATTACTTTGCCGTATAGTTTCTGTTCTATTGTCTACTCTCTCTACCCAAACAAGATTTGTGTGCATGGATTTTGTAGGAATAATATATACTGTAGTTCTGTGGTCATTCCATGTTTGAGACATAGGGTTTATAAATTAATCTTTTTTATACAGGACTGAAAATTCTCATTGAGAAGCAGTGTATGCTTTGAATTAACAGTTGCAGCAATATTTGTTCCACTGGCATGATTCAGAGTACTTTGTGAGAAGTGGTTATTTTTTAATTAGATTTCTTCTGTTGAAATCATCCAATTCTGGAACATGACTGAATATTAATTGTTAGATAAGTTAGGCAAAATTATAATATCTTCAGAATAATCCCAAACTCTTGGTTTTATTGTCTCTTCATCTCTTGCACCATATACTTTATTATTAAATTTTATATTGGCAGCTATTGTTAGATCGCATCAAGGTGGACATGAAACAACTTCTATCCTCAAAACGACGCTATAGGGCAGGGGTGTCAAACTGCCAGCCCATGGGCCGGATGCGTCATGGTGAAACTGTGCCCACTCCATTGCTGACAATTGCAAAAAAGTTGCAATACATTGCGACATGTCACGTGACGTTGTGAGTTTGGCACACCAGAACAACTAAACACAAGGACAGTTCCCCCCCTCCCATGCCATCACTCTGCTAAACAACTAATTCCCACAACACTGTCAAACTACTTAATAAGTCTGTATTACTATTATTCTTCCCATCTTTCCTATTACCTATCTCCTTATCTACTTATGACTATAACTTTGTTGCTTGTATCTTACAATTTATATTGTTTTATTTAGTTTCCTAGTATGATTTATGTTGATTGCTTATCTAGTATCCTATGACTATCACTAAATGTTGTATCTTACAATTTATGATGAATGATCATGAGTTATCACTTATAACTTTTATGTACACTGAGAGCTTATGCACCGAAGACAAATTCCTTGTGTGTCCAATCACACTTGGCGAACAAAGAATTCTATTCTAAATGCATGGGCATCAGCCCTGAAGACTCCCTGGATCGAGCCAAATGGAAATGGCTTTGCCAACAAGCAGACCCTGCCATAGTGTGGGAATAACGTTAGAAAGAAGAAGATTGTCAACTATTGTAGATTCAAGACAATTTACAGTAAAAATGTATCATATCAGTGCCAGGGAAGGGAAGCAATTATGAAATTAATTATTTTTATTTAGCTCTTTGTAAACTGAGTAATATCATTTCAAAACATGTTATGGTTATTAGATTTAGAATCACGTTCTTGATTTTTTAAGAAGCAAAGTAAGTTGGTAATGATTGAAGAGAAGCCTTCATGCATAAATGTCCCCATGTTTAGAATTTGCTGTAAAAGATATGATACATTATTGTACCATACTCGTGACTTTCTCATTTTTAAAATACACATTATCATCTAACATTGAAAACTCAGGCTTTAATTTGGTATGTAAAGTATGTATGTTCATTTTCCAAGATTTAATGTGACAATTTTATTATTTCTTATTTTATTACATTTTAAAGCAAAATTTAATGTAATGCCTGTAAATATCCAGCTATTAATTTTTATTCAGGGTCTAAGTGTTACCTTGTGTTGAGAGACACAAAAATTAGATTTGTATAATATAATATCTCAGAGTAACATCATCAATCATATATTTTGAGATGTTCCTGTAGCCATAAGAAGTTTCTACTTAGATCTAATATGCAGATGTAATTTTTCAGGGAAATTGGTATAGTTAAACTCTCTCGTGGACATCACACTTATATTGTATAAATTTGCATTGCAAATGTACATTGGAATATATGTAAATATTGCTGAAATCTAAAAATCTTAAAATGGAAAATTAGAGCTGTGAGACCACTACAATTGTGACAGTGTGAATGAAGCAATTCTCTTCACAAAAAGCAAGCAGTTGTGTCCTACGGGAGGCTTGTGGGGTTGCTTCAGAAGCTGTTGCCAATTGTCTCTGAATGTGTCTCCCCACACAGCTTCTTTGCTTTGCTGAGTCTCAGTGGAAACATGAAGAATTTGTTTGGCAGTCTTGTAAGCCAGTGGTTCCCATCCTGTAGGCTGTGGCCCACTAGTGGGCTGTGAGGGGTTTGCAACTGGGCCGTAGAAATGGCTGGTAAGCGTGTGTGCACATGCATCACTTGCGGGTGAGTGCGTGTGCACGTGTTCCATTTGCATGAGCGCCAGGTGTGTGTGCATGCTGCTCGTTGAAATGGAGCTATGCGTGTGCACGCTTGGCAGCCCCTTCCTCAAACCATCCCCTTCCTCCCCCTGCCAGTCCACAAAGCCAGAAACGTTGGGGAACTCTGAAGTAAGCTTTGCAAAAGACATTGCTGTTTTAACATCTTAGAAAGAGGTGCTTTACTCGGGTGCTTTGGGAAGCACTTCTTTTGAATTCCTTGTACAGCTCCACCAAAAATCAATGTGATTGTACTGGAACAGAGCTTCAGACTCATGTATAACTTTCTAAACAGATCTGGTGCCTGGGGCTAGTATTCATCCACTCTTTTTCTCTGTGGTTTTAGGAACAGGGTAGAACAGGAACATCCCATAAAGGGTTCAGTAAAATTATATCAATAATTTAGAATATAGGACTCCCCTCCTCCTCCTTTCAGTTTCTTCTCCTGTTCAACATTGTAATGGTTGTCCTAGATTGGAATTTTTCTTGTGACCAGATATTATTTGAGGCGGTTTACATTCCATCTTGTTTTCCTGACACTGAATATCAGTAAGTAGAACAAGAGCCAGAGTTTAGTTTCAGATAAGATACTGATGAATAGTGCTATTTAGTTCTTTTCTAATTATATAAAGAGGAGCCTTTAACAATGATTTTTAAAGCAACTTGCTCTACTGTTGGTAAGAAATCAACATTTCATTAAGTTTCATTTCTTTTGCAGGTGTATTTGCCAGACTTTGCATAAAAAAGTGTGCATTTTAGTGACTCACCAATTGCAATATTTACGAGCTGCAAGCCAGATCTTAATTTTAAAAGAGGTTGGTGACAATAAAAATAATCTTTGGAGGGTTGATAATGTTTAGTTTGTGTTCTGTATTCTTAATATTTAAAGTTGAAGAATTATAAATATGCAGAATAGTGTGGTCAGTCTTGCAGGGTTACATGAAATTTGTCTACATGGCATGCAAAACTATACATTTACATTTACAGAACTAAATAAATTAAAATGCCAGTTTTGAAGGATAGGTCAGGATTTTTTTAAACCCCTAGCTGGAAAATAAAAGAAGATAGTGTAAAATATATCTGTTGATGGTGTTCAGCTACAAATTTCAAATTAGTTACTTCAGTATTCTTGGGGCTTTAGTTTCCTTTTGATCCTTTTGCATATATGCTATACATATAATACTGTGCACTTGTTTAGATTAGAAAAGAAGCAGGAACCATGTTTCAAATGTATTTTGATTTTTGATTCTCAAGAGCTACATTTCAAAAGGAGGCAGAGCTTCAAAAAATTAACCAATTGAACCTAGACCAGGGGTAGGCAACCTTGGCTCTTTTATGACTTGTGGACTTCAACTCCCATGCTGGCTCAGGAATTCTGGGAGTTGAAGTCCACAAGTCATAAAAGAGCCAAGGTTGCCTACCCTTGACCTAGACTGAATCAGAAGCAGCATGGTCCATCTTAGAAGTGCAGCTGAAGTGATATCTGAACTTCCTTCTAGCTAGCATGGAAAAAATATGCTCTTTATTTTGACTTTACAGCTGCAAATAAAAAATTGTAAAGCTGAAATTTGTAAATATGTAAGACATTGAATGCTGAAATTTGTTCAGTGTCAGCGAGATGTAGGCACCTTGAATTTAGACTGTTTATGTTCCATGACTACAGTATTATTTGCTCTTTTATTCAAAATTAAATGAACTACGAATAAAAATGCAAATAAAGTCAATAAAAATCAAACAGACATAATCTAATATCTTCTCTCTTCTTCTAATGTCACTAATAAATAAAATATTGTTATGTTGCTTTGCAATGTACCATTTATATTCGTATTGACTGAAGTAGTATAAAAACCTGTGAACGAAATAAAGTAAATAAATTATCTAGGAAAAATATCCTTTTCTCTATAATTATCTTAGAATAAATGCTAATTAACAAATTTTAATTGTTCCATATATCCCTATACAAGCCAGATATAAGAAGGGATATTATGTAACAAGTCTTATAATAATTATTTTTTAATAATTTTATAAAGAAATTATTTTTGCTAATCAAAACTTTGCCATCTTTCCAAAAACAACAGATTATTCATCTGCTACCAATATCTAATAACTATCAACTTTGCTACCATTGCCCTACTGACACTTTATTTTTCATTGAGGTGTTCTCAATCACAATTGAGCCCAAAATTTATATTGGTAAATGAGAAATTTGTTAAGGGAGTCTTGCCCCATTTTACGACCTTTTTTTGCCCCAGTGATCCCACACTTTCTTGAAATGTATCTTGATTATTTAAAACAGGTGGTAAGACAAAGGAGGATATTTACTAAAAGATTCTTCCTTCTTTTTGGTGGAAGTGCAAGCCTGGATGGCAGCTGATAGTTATCCAAAAAATTACTACTATAGTTGGCTGTTTTACAAGCATACTGTACATTATAGTCTCTATGTATTTTCTTTCTAGGGTAAGGAGGTAGGGAAAGGTACCTTCTCAGACTTTCTTAAATCTGGAATAGATTTTTCTTCTCTTTTGAAAAAAGTTGAGGAGGATGATCAACCATCATCTCCAGGAACACCCAGCCACCAGCTGACTAGGATCCGTACATTTTCTCAGTCTTCCTTGTGGTCGCTGGACTCTTCAGTTCAGTCACAGAAAGATGGAACTGCTGGATCACCAGCTGTGAGTAAATGACACAAGTATATAAAACAGTCTGAAAGTTGAATGGTGTTTTTATTTGTAGGATAAGAAACTGTCGCTTATTTATGCCAAAATGTGCAAGTTTAATGCATCATATTCCAAGGTCTTGTGAAACATTTTCCATTGGCGTCAACATTTTTGCTGTGTAGAAATTCTCATAGCAAAGAACATTTATACTCTGAAGAGTATACATTTTAATTTCAGGCGTTTAATTACCTAACACTAAACTTCACATTAAAGATTGAGAAGAACGAATGGAAAATTTGAACGAGTTGTCCTTTCTTTTTTTCATAATAAGCAGAACTTCTTCTGAACCATACCAGATTTATCATTCTGGCACAGAATTTGTAATATGCATAAATATGTGTTATTTTGTTAACATTATCAAAAAATAATGTAAAAGAATCAGCTTAAATTACGTAATTGATAGTTCACATTAAAGGTTGATCTTTTAAATTAAACTAGATACTTTATTTCCCCAGACTGGGGAAGGTGATTAGAAAATCTGTTTTAGAAACTTTTTTTTTGTAGAAATTATTCTTAACAAAATCCATTTCCTTAATTTTTACTCCCATTGTATTGCAGATGGGACCAGTCCTAACTGCACTGCCTGAAGAAAGTCGATCAGAAGGAAAAATTGGCTTTACTATTTATAAGAAGTACTTTTCTGCTGGCGCAAATTATTTTGTAATTTTTATACTTTTAGTTCTCAATATTTTGGCACTGGTAAGTTTTTTTAGGGATCAAAAAGGCAAATGTAACTGATAATTGTTTTTAGTAGTCTAGCACATACACTTTCCTATTCTGTATGTATGAAGTGAATTAGCAACATTTAATGCATATAAGATATATTTTCGTCTTTGAAATAAAAGGGTCAGATTGTAAATGAGCTTGAGATTCATTTACTGTAAAGATGGAGCAGTGATCTATCTGTTCCTTTTCACACAGAATTTCAAAAGAAAACATTCTATACAATTTAATTACAAAAAGAAAAAAAGTTTATAGAAATTAGACTTCCAGACATTGCAGTAGAATTTTAAATAATTTTTAAAATATATAAGTAGTTAATATAAATTAATGTTTAAACATTATGAATTATTTACTACTGGACAGTAGTAGGATGTTATGGATATAAGCTTTGACTTAGTGGCTTTCCATTCTACTCCAGGTCTTGATAACTTTGTGATATTGAGAGGCTAAAGCTATTGATTCCATCATTCCACAACTTTGATCAGTCTCTTCCACAATTCAAGCTCAGCTGATACTGACCTGGAAATAATACAGTTGAATTAAGAATAATAATCAGAATGAGTAAACCTAGTCATATGTAACTAAATTCAAGGAATTATATTACCATGCTTCACTACAATAATGAAAAAATAATATTTTCTTGGCAGCATTCCCTTCTCAGGGTGCCAGCTTGGAAATTTAAGATTCAATTAAAGTCTTATTCTGAATCCCACAATGGTTACTTCAAATTCCCCTCTATAATATATGTAATACTATTGAGAACCTCTGCTTTACAATTTATTCCATTTTAGTTTTTAGATAGTGCTGCTAACTGCTTGATGGCAAACAGAGAAATTTTTACTAGGCATTTCTGAGTTTTCTTTATTTGGATGTCACAACTCCTACAATATGTAACTGATGTGTCCAGTCTAGCATGTAGTCATAGTTGATGAGGTAACTTTCAGTTATTGTGGTGTAAGATTGCAGATAAGATGCTCAGCTTAGCTTACTGTTACTTAGCTTATATTTTCTGTTTGTACTACTACTCCTACCACTAGCTGAAAGAGGAAGCTTGGAAAAGCTTAATACTGTTTTGAGAAAGGAATAGTCCCAACCACAGTGAGTGAGGCAATATTGCTAAGAAAATGCTGTGCCTGGATTATGAGAATTGTGAGGATTATCAACTAATCTTCTACTCTTGAGTAAGATACATGACAAAGAGCAATCTTTTAAGGCATTACATTATTGTATGAGATTAAAATAGAAGCAGATAATCATTTTCTTTTCAGGGCTACTAGGGGGAGAGAGGTTCCTTGGCTGCTGACCTATATTGAGAGAAAGATAGCAGGATCCTGCTAATTCTCAATTCATAAAGGAGAAGATGGCTTGTCCGCTTGAAAAAAAGACTGCTCAGGACATTCTGAGGGGAGCTGAAGTGAAAATAAAATGAAATCTGGAATGTCTGAGAATCCAGAATGCTTTTTGGGGCATTTCTAGCATATGCAGTTAAAGTATACTAAAATTTTTAGGCAATACAGGTCAAATTCTATGTTTAAATTAATCCCTAATGAATGGAAGCTGATACAGCATTGCGCAACATTAAATACAACATTTTTCTGCAAATCTGAATGCACAGTTGCTACTTATGTACAGTTGTGCACAGATTGAGAGTAAAAACAATGAATGTGCCAAGAGCAGAAGTTTGGTAGCCCTTCTGGAGATTCTGCTGTTTTACCGGATGATTGAGACTTCTCTGAATATCTTCAATAATCTATATCTATATAAATAAAAATGTAAATGTTCGTTTGTTCAAAATCTTAAATCTCCGAAAGTTCTTCACAGATTGCTTTGAAATTTTGACACAACGTTGCATTCGAATACGCACGTGTTTTTATATACCTATATTATATAGATGTCACACCTGTGACAGGTAAAAACATGCTTTTTTGAAAAACAGCGCCATCTGTTGGACGTAAAAGCAACACACGCTTTTACCAGACTGAGCCACAGCAACGTGTGGCTGGGTACAGCTAGTATTCAATAATATGCTGAGGTCTGTGAAAGGGATTCCAGAAACTTTACTTTTCTTCAAGATTGATTTGGAGGTCTCAGTCCATCAAATCTTTATTTGGGTCATAGATTAGCATAAGGTGTTTTAATAATAACATCGAATCTTATGAAAGATAAAAATAGCAAAAATTAGCATTGATCTCACAGCATTGGACTATAATATTGAAACATTAAAATCTCTTTACAAAATTCTTAATGCTAAGTCTAATAACCTAAAATGGGGAAGGGCTTTGAAGGCTATAAAAAATAAGTATGTCTATGGAGATTCTCAGTCATCTGGGTCATGGTTGTCCTACAGGTGCTTTTTCAGAAGTAACTGGATTTTCTTTGTTTTTGCTTGAAGACGTTTTACTTCTCATCCAAGAAGCTTCTTCAGTTCTCTTCAGAACTGAAGAAGCTTCTTGGATGAGAAGTGAAACGTCTTCAAGCAAAAATAAGGAAAATCCTGTTGCCTTTTGAAAAAGCACCTTTGAACAGTTGCTTCTGTCCACTTATTAAAAAAATACAATTTACTTTTTGAATAGTATGTACGTCTAAAAAGAAAAGGCTGAAGGATAGCTTATAACAGTGATGGCAAACCTTTTAGGGACCGAGTGCCCAAACTGCAACCCAAAACCCACTTATTTATTGCCAGGTGCCAGGTGGGCGTGGCCCACTGGGTGGTTGTGGCTGTGGTGGTCATGACAGACTGGGTGGGTGTGGCCAAGGTGGGCATGGCCACCTCTATTTTGCTCATGGGAAGGGACGCCTGTGGGGGCCGGGCAGGGTTGGGGGAGATCCAGGGGGTCTCTGGCAGGTGGGCCGGTGGGCAGGAGGCTCATCCTGAGGTGTGAGGCAAGGCAAGGCGAGGCAGGGCAGGAGTGCCATTGTCGCAGGGCAAGACGAGGCAGGGGCCGGGGCGGTTGCTGCCTGACACCATCGGCCCCCGCACACAGAGGCCAGCGAGTGCAGGGGGGCCAACAGTCAGCATCCATAGCCTGCTGGCCTCTCAACCGGCGCACTCTGGGGCTCTGCAGCCCATCGCCAGCAGTTCAGAGAAGCCGCGTCTGAGCGGGATGGCCAGCCGACGGCTGAGGAGGCGATGCAGTGGGTCGTGCCCAGGAAAAGGAGAGCATGCGAAGCTAGGAGGGATGGGATGGGGGGGAGGGAAACCAGCCGTGCTGGGATGCATGCGGCCATGTGGGACCTTGGCGAGTTAGCGGGTGGCTGGTTGAAGAGGGACGGTTGCCATCTCTGAGGCATGGCGCGGGTGCCCACAGAGAGGGCTCTGAGTGCCGCCTCTGGCATGCATGCCATAGGTTCACCACCACTGGCTTATAATATTTGAAACATGTTTTGAGTTTAAACCACAAGGCATTAAATAATCCAAAATAAATTCTAAAACAATTGTTTTAACTGTTTTAGGTTACTTATGTGCTTCAGGATTGGTGGCTTTCTTACTGGTGAGTGACTGTTTCTATATAAATCATGTAGACAATTAGTTTTAAGAAAGCAGCAAATGAAGAAATGAGGACTTTTGTATTATATACAATAGAAAAATATTTGAAATTACACATGAAATAATGAAATAAAGTACACATTCAAAGTTTAAAAAATACCTTTGAAACAATAAAACAAAGCTTACAGAATATGTCAGAGAAAATTCAGTAAATGAAATGGTTGATGACAAATACCAGTATAAAATCTTTAAAGATTTTAGTATCCTGTTAACATGCATGTTTTAGCCTTAACTTCTTCTTGACTATATGTTATTGATTCAGTTAAATGAATTTTCAGTGAATGAAAAATGCAGTTTATAAAAGAAATCGTGCATTCACAGATTTTGTTCATATAGGCCGTATGTTCCAATCCATCATGGGATGTCCAAGCTTTGAGACAATCCAAGTAGAGAAGTGCCTTGGCATCTGTTTAAAAAAACCTTTAAGATCCCAGATTGGGATAGAGTTAAAATATTTTAGCATTTTAAATTCTTCATGGTACACTACTGTTTTTAAAAACAATTCAGTGTTGTCAATTGTATTAGATTTCTATGCTCTATGCTACCATACATTGTTATTTGTTGAAAGGTAATGCAAATGTTTCATTAATTTGGAACAAACCCTGTTTTTTATATTTATTTCCAGGGCAAAACTAAATATTATGAATCACATAATATTGCCAAAGCAAGTGGTATCTTCACATTGATTTTCCTCTTCCTTATTTAATATATAATAGCAGAAGCCCACATATGGTTTATTATTTCAGAAATTACAGACTAAAATTAAAGAAGGACTACAGTCACTTTGACTACAAAGTGAGCTGTTTGGGAGCATTTGCTAAACTTTTTTGAAACGTAGAGAGACTTAGTCCAACCAATAAGTTCTCATGTGCTTGCAAACTGTGCTTGAAATATGTTCTCTCCATGTGTCCACAGGGCAAACCAGCAAGTAATGCTAAATATCACTAAAATGGAATATGGTGGGCAAAATATCACAGAAACTCTGGATCTTCCCTGGTATTTAGGAATGTATGCAGGTAAAAACTTTTAAAATGTCACTGTAATTTGTAAAAATCTAGGCCATGATCCCAAAATATGCAGTTTTCCTATAACTTTTAAATGTTACTAGACAACCTGTATCTTATTGGGTCATTGTTCCAGTAATATTTCCTTATCATGTAAATGGTTCTGGTATACCCCCACATATACTCCCCAAATCCTAGTATGCAACTCCACAAATTGCATGCAACCTCCCTGACCTGTGTGCCCCCTCTCAAGCACCCTGTGTACACTCCCTGATCTGTACAATGCCTCTTGAATCCTCCAACTGGTGTAGCACTGACTGGAATGGTATGCAGGAGTGTGGTGCAGATCAGGAAGGGTGCTGGGTGTGCAAGTGGTGCTGCCTGGGTTTGGGAGGTCATTGTGAGTGCATTGTGAGTTGGGGAGGTACACAAGTATGTGCAAGACGTACCTTGAATGTTGGGTCCATGGGAGTGTGATGCTGGTCAGGAAGGGTGTGTGGCGTGCCCAAGAGAGGCTGGAGAACTTCAGGGTAGGGGAGACTTGAAACCTTTGCTACCAACTTCCCCATTACTGATCTCCCTGCCAGCTTCCCATAAGCAAAGATTTTCCTTTTGAGAAGCTGGCAGGGAGCACTGCCAATCCACAATCAAGCCTACATTTTCTGTCGGCTTTCCCATTGATTTGTGGGAAGCTATCAGGGAACATAAAAATGATCACATGACTCTGACTGTAACTGTGTACCTGTGCTGAAGCAGTGACAGCACGACAACACTGAAATAGCCACACCTTCCCCAAATTTCATTCCCATGGGTGTAATGGCTCTTGGAATTATGTAAATTACCTTATTGAGGTGCCTTGGTTCAAAAATGGCTGCCCTATGATGTACCATTTGAAAATTACAAACAAATAGACTTAAGGGTTTTAGTAGTATGTAGATAATTATAGATTAAGAAGATGTTGTTTTCTTCAATGACTGTATCAGTTAGATTACGCCTGTAGTCATTTTGTACTTCCAGACCATCTTTGTTGAAATCTGGGACAAGTTGTCCATTTTTAACTGTGCATTTTTTCCTAAAACAAGACATTTATTGTATGACATTGTATTTTAATAGACTCATTTAACTCCTTTACAACTTCATCCCCAAAGTGTGCCCCATCGCTGCCACATGCAAAAGAGAGGAAAATAAAATGAAGAGACAGCCCTACAGAAAGGTCATTCACCTGTTCTACTACAGAACTGTGGTCAGTTCTCATAGAATACTAATATTAGTAATTATTATAACATTCAATGCACATGAAGCCCAATACTAGCTAAAGAACTGGTGGCTGTGAATTCACATTGTTGTATTAACAACAACAACAACAACAACAGTAACAACAACAACAACAACAACAACAACAACAATAATAATAATAATAATAATAATAATAATAATAATAATAATAATAAAGTTGGAAGGGACCTTGGAGGTCATCTAGTCCAACTCCCTGCTCAGGCAGGAAACCCTATACCATTTCAGACAAATGGCTGTCCAGTCTCTTCTTAAAAACCTCCAGTGTTGGAACATTCACAGCTTCTAGAGGCAGGTTGTTCCACTGATTAATTGTTCTAACTGTCAGGAAATTTCTCCTTAGTTCTAGGTTGCTTCTCTCTTTGGTTAGTTTCTATCCATTGCTTCTTGTCCTGCCTTCAGGTGCTTTGGAGAATAGCTTGACTCCCTCTTCTTTGTGGCATCCCCTGAGATATTGGAACACTGCTATCATGTCACCCCTGGTCCTTCTCTTCATTAAAATGAATATACTAATAACTTATTAAATGTATATGCTGCCCAATTCCCATTGTTAAAATATTTTTAAAAAGCATTTAAAAATATTTAAAAAATAAAGAACAACGTACAAGCCATAATTGTTTGGCTGGATCCTTTGTTAACTACATGTCAGCTGAAATGTAGCTCCATGAAGGTCTGTCAGTTATTTCTTTATGTATGCTTTCCACCAAAGAGGAATCAATAGCAGCTCTGGGCCAGAGGACTTTCTTTGGGAAAAAAATATGAGTCTCGCTTCCAGACAAGATGGGCACCACATAAATCCAATAAATAAATAATTTAGGAGATAAGTTTACTTATTTTAATGAATGAACCGAAGTCAGATCACAGGCTTATTCAAAAAGCTATTTGTTTTGTCAGCATGCACCTCAGTTACCTTGCTAGAGGCAAATAATTTGGGCAGAATTACTAATTTTCTTGCCGTAGAAGATTTGTTAAATTAATAGTATTTGATGTTAAACAAATTACTGCCAAACTACTATCATTGTGACGCATGACTTTTTTAAAAAAAATGTTTGTCAATAGATTCTTGAAATTGATAGATTACATTATGTAACGCTGTCCTTCATTTAAATACAGGTTTAACCGTGGCTACAATACTTTTCAGTATACTGAGGAGTCTACTTATGTTTCACATTTTGGTTAACGCAGCTCGGACTTTACATAACAAAATGTTTCAGTCAGTTCTGAGAACTCCAGTGCTG